CTTCAGGAGTCCCTCAGGGTAGCCACCTAGGCCCGATTCTGTTCTTGCTTTTTATAAACGATATTTCTACAGATATAAAATTCTCCAAAATTTTAATGTATGCAGATGATGTAAAACTTTATAAATCGTACGTTTCAATTAAAGAAAGGTATTTGCTACAATCTGACTTAAACAGCATGGCTTACTGGTGTAAAGTAAATCGTATGCCTCTAAATCTTAAGAAATGTAAAGTAATGTGCTTCTCGCGAAGAGCTTTTCTTCCAGTTTCTTATATAATAGGTAACCATAACCTGGAACAGGTATACAATTTTGTGGACCTTGGTATCACAATGGATCCTAAGCTTAATTTTAATCTTCACATTAATGTGACAGTCAACAAGGCTAAAGGTGAACTTGCATTTGTGAAACGATGGTCAAAAGAATTTAGTGACCCTTATATCACTAAAACCCTGTTTACAACATTAGTTAGGCCGATTCTGGAATACGGCTCGGTGGTTTGGAATCCAAGGTATCAAATTTACTCAGACAAGACAGAATCATTTCAAAAACAATTCCTACTTTTTGCTTTAAGAAATTTCTGATGGAATTCTCAATATAGTCTTCCACCTTATACGAGTCGCTTAAAACTTATTAACCTTCCTCGGTGGTTTGGAATCCAAGGTATCAAATTTACTCAGACAAGACAGAATCATTTCAAAAACAATTCCTACTTTTTGCTTTAAGAAATTTCCGTTGGGATTCTCAATATAACCTTCCACCTTATACGAGCCGATTAAAACTTATTAATCTTCCTACACTTTCCAGCCGCAGGCAAATGCTTGGTACAATTTTTATAGTTAAATTACTAACAGGCTCAATTTCAAGTCCGCTTCTTCTTGGCGAAGTTAGCCTTAATGTTCCCTTCCGGGTATCAAGACACTTTTGCCCCCTATTTCTGAAAGCTTGTAAAACTAATTTTGAATTGCACGACCCACTCCGTTGCTTATGCCAGGATTTTAACTCTCATTCCAGCACGTTTGATATATCAGATCCGCTTTTCAGCATTAAGAAAGCGATACTCTCCTCTCTCAATAAGTGAATTATTGACATAAATACATAAAATCAGCTGATGAATTTAGTTCTGTAGCTGAACAGTTTTAGATCTCGACACTTAACAAACTCCTGCCTATCGTGACTCGGCACAAAAATTTAAAATATTGGTTCCGTACGTCATGCGGACTGCGCCCCTCGTGCGGATGGGCGGGAATGGAGGGTAAAAACCGTTGGGATTATTATTATTATTATCTTAGGCTCGCCCAAGCCCCTCAAAGTTCAAGTGCTAAACAAATTTTTTCTTAGTCTTAATAAAAAAAAGGATTTTCGGCCCACGCTAATGTACATACACACATTTATACAGATATACACATATACATACAAATGTACATACATGTATAGATAGATATGTTGCTGACATTAAAAAAGTCTCTGCTTCTTCATATAGATTTTTATCGCCGCAAACTGAAATACGTGCACTGATTGAAGGACAAATGTTACATAAACGAGCCGTAGCCTCAGACATGGGATTCCACTTCGGCGATGAGACAAAAATTGTTGCCACAGGAGGAGCATCTGTAAATAAGTCTATTTTACAAGTAATATCAGATGTTTTCAATGCACCAGTTTTTGTTCAGGTTTGGCACCAAAATATACAATGTGTGAAGCAAATGAAAATTTTAATTTTATTTCATTTTATACAGAATGAAAGTGAGGCTGCTTTGTTTGGTGCCGCGTACCGTGCAAAATATGCAATATATTTAAATTCGTTAGTAGACGTCAGTCGTATATGTCATGAAAATAACAACGTGCAGCACACAGCAACGACCGGGCCATTAAGCTACCTCGATTACATAACACGGTTCATTCCAAATCATCTACGGATAGTTTGTGAACCCAGTAAGGATTGTGAGCAAATTTATTCACCAATGGTAGAACGTTACCGAAAAATGGCGTTGATATTGGCAAAAAAATAGTCACACTTATGTTAATTTAACACATTCCTTTGGTGACATACATATGTACCTATCGTTTCTTCGTTGAAAGAGTGTCACAAATACGAAATAACACCATAAATTAATTATTTTCAGTGTGGGTATGTGCAGCCCATGATTCAATAATAAAAGGTTTGCTCAAGAAGCATTTTTCTCGCTCCCTCTTGACAAAATCGGCTCCCTTAGCAAAGCATTGTGTGTGGGTTCGTGGGTGTGTGCAAAGCTTTTGTAAGGGAGTGTCAAAACTTTAATGTCAATAATGAGCAAACCTTTAATTATTGAATCATGTGTGCAGCGTGTGTAATAAGTATAGTGTACAATACGGTGGTCCAAAAAAATTAAAAGCGGAATTTTAATGCTCTCACCCCCTGGGATTGTTCTATGTCGAAACAATTACACCCATGTTTTTTATTTTGAAATCACAATATTGAATGTATTTAGAGGTGACTCAAAGCGCTCAAAGCTTTCCATGTATTTCATATGGGAAAAAACAAGTATTCGTAAAAAAGGAGAATTCTTCAAAATAAATATTTTTCGTTCGGAAAACTTTGTTTCTTTTTGAGAGACTTCCAATAACAATACTCAATTGTTTATTTAACGNCAGCACACAGCAACGACCGGGCCATTAAGCTACCTCGATTACATAACACGGTTCATTCCAAATCATCTACGGATAGTTTGTGAACCCAGTAAGGATTGTGAGCAAATTTATTCACCAATGGTAGAACGTTACCGAAAAATGGCGTTGATATTGGCAAAAAAATAGTCACACTTATGTTAATTTAACACATTCCTTTGGTGACATACATATGTACATATCGTTTCTTCGTTGAAAGAGTGTCACAAATACGAAATAACACCATAAATTAATTATTTTCAGTGTGGGTATGTGCAGCCCATGATTCAATAATAAAAGGTTTGCTCAAGAAGCATTTTTCTCGCTCCCTCTTGACAAAATCGGCTCCCTTAGCAAAGCATTGTGTGTGGGTTCGTGGGTGTGTGCAAAGCTTTTGTAAGGGAGTGTCAAAACTTTAATGTCAATAATGAGCAAACCTTTAATTATTGAATCATGTGTGCAGCGTGTGTAATAAGTATAGTGTACAATACGGTGGTCCAAAAAAATTAAAAGCGGAATTTTAATGCTCTCACCCCCTGGGATTGTTCTATGTCGAAACAATTACACCCATGTTTTTTATTTTGAAATCACAATATTGAATGAATATTTTCTATTATTGACTATTGCAAAATGCAATGGGGGACCCATACAAAATCGCTACCATTAAAAACTGGTTAAAGAAACAATTGGGTATTATTATTGGGAATCTCCTGAAGAGAAATAGAGTTCTCCGATCGAAAAATATTGATTTTTAAAAAGTCTACACAATTTCCACGAACACTGGTTTTTTCCCATATAAAATATATAGTAAACTTTGAGCGATCTCTAAATATTTATTGATTTCAAAGTAAAAAAAAGAGGGTATACATTTTTCGGTATAGAAGAATCCTGGGGGGTGAAAGCATAAAATTCCGACTTTACTTTTTCACATGCATTTTTGGAGCACCCTAGTGTGCAANATCTCTAAATATTTATTGATTTCAAAGTAAAAAAAAGAGGGTATACATTTTTCGGTATAGAAGAATCCTGGGGGGTGAAAGCATAAAATTCCGACTTTACTTTGTCACATGCATTTTTGGAGCACCCTAGTGTGCAATGATAAAATTTTCTTTACTGGTGGTGATGTTTCATTCCAATTTTTTTTTTATTAGAAAAGTACCAAGTAATGCTGAAAAAATATTAAAGACAAGATTGTATTAGTGGTTAATAAAATTAAAAATCGAGACCTCCTAAAGGCAAACTTTTTTGTGAAGTTATTTCTTTTCTTTAATTAATGTACATTTTTAATATGAACCGAATCAGGCCATAAATATGGGTTTTCCAATTATCTCGACTCCTGCGCCACCCATCAGGCAAAATTTTTTGTAGGGTTGTTGCTTTTCAAGTAAATAATAATATTATAAATTCAAAATATGAACCATATCTAAATACTGGGTTTTCAAATAATTCGACAACTGCGACACCTAAAGGATTCATGAATTTTTCATATTGCATTGACATCGGCTTCTAGGCAAAGTTTGGTTGGAAGATTTGATTCCACACAGGTGAAATTTAATAAAAGCGTGTAAAATAAATATTTGGCGCTCAAATTATTGTTAAGTTTGTGTGTGTCACACAAATGGAGGAACCTACAGTTTAACCCGGTCGTGCGAACGTGAGTCACGCTCGGCTTTCACGCACAAGCCGTGTATACGAAACTACCGAACATTTGCGACACTAGCATAGGGCTGCATACGTCTCCGTTTTCCGAGACATGTCCTGGTTCTAGACTGTTCGTCCCAATGTCCCGGTCCAGCCTTGAAATGTCCCGGTTTTGGCTCACACTCACTGGTTTTAATGCAAAAATGTCATGAACGAAAGACACAAGACCACGCGGGAAGGAAAGAACGAAAAAAGTTATTTCCTAGCTGCCGAAATCTCGACGCCATCTTTGTTGTAAGAAGTAAACAACGAAGAGAACGGAGAAAACCGCGAAATTGTTGAACGCATGAAAAATCATTTTTATTATGCAAATTCTTCTAAAAATCATGCCGTGGTGTTAAATTATTCTTTATCTTATATGTACACACGTTGTCACAAGCGAAAATGAAGAAAATTGCAGTAAAAAGCCACCACCAAATTGTAAACAACGAAGAAATGTAAACAAACGGCTAATGTCAAAATCGTTCGACTTTTTTCCTTAATGCGATTCTAACGGGATACTCTCCTGCCCGCGTGATCTTGTCTTTTTGGTTCATGCAAAAATGTATCCTATTTTTTTTATTTGTAATGAATTTTAGTATTTATTAAAATTTGGTACTACTTTGTAAATGTACAACATCTTTGAATGCTAAAGGCCTTTTGTTTGTGTTTATGATCATGTCGATCCCTAATTAGCAGGAGCTGCTTTCATTTAATTTATGTTCTGTTAAGAATGCTGTTAATTTCCATGTCACTTTTCGCCAAAAATATTGTGCGTCTAATGTATTTTTTAGGGTTAAGATTTTTCTAAAATTTATAAGCCTATGGTGTAGAAGTTAACGCCGCCAAGCCCCGCCGCCGACGGTGCCGTCTTTGCCATTTCTCACGCGCCGCCGCCGAGTTACGAAAATATCGGCACGGTGGCGGCAGCGTTTCGCGCCTAAGAAATTTTGTGAAACATTTTCAGCATGTATGCACATTGAACCATATCGTTTGAAGGAACTGCTACTCGTATAAATAACGCTATTTTACGAAATGAAAATTGTAATGTTGGTAACGCTAGAGCTAGGGGAATAAATATTATTTGTGTAGGCAGCATTGCTTTTAAATATTATATATATGTTTCGGTGTAGCTGCATAAGATTAGAAAGAATAAATGTTTCTTTGGCTGCCGACACCCAATAAGTAAAGACGTCTTTCAGTTGTTAGTACATCACATTGGCGACGAGACAAATCTGGAAGCCTTCACAACCGTAACCAAAATAAATCGCAGTATAGAAGTTGTAATTGCTGGGAACTACTGCGAAACTAAGATGTAACAAAAAATGTCTTTGTTAGGTAATTTGTCGAATTTCATAGAATCCGAGAGCTGGGTTCTGACAAAATATTTTGACGTTATTTTTTAGAGCTTCACGAAAACGCTTATTGCACGAGAACTAGTGAAGCGATTTCGAAGGGAGGTGTGGCGTTTCAAAGACAAAATTCCAAACCTATCGACAGATACATTTATGTGAATAACCGCTTATTTTGGGGCCAATTTTGAGCCTTTAAAGTGCTCTAGCAACTTATGATTTGCAGATATAACTTTCATTTTCGGGGTATAGGTTCTTTAGAGCAGTGGAAATATTATCGTGTACAAATTTTATATAAATTAAACAAACGTCGAGCATTTTAAAGCGAAAAATTGTTGAAAAAATTAGCAATTTTTTTTTATCACAAATATGCTCGAAAACCGCTCGAATGATTTTGTTTTTGTTTTCCTTAATAAAAAATTCAATCTTTTCCTTTCGTTTGGTATGTGGGATGTATTGGTTGATAACTTCTAACAGGCTAACCTAATATTCACGCACGCTGCCAATTTATTGTCAAAAATTTCTCATGCACATGCAACTTGTGTGAGATCAACCGAAATTGAACGGCGTGCGTATGAAGCTAACTCAATTTCCAATTTTTGTTCTGCGTGACATTTTGATTTGACGTTTCGCTCAATGAAATCAAATGCGAACGCATGCAAGTCAATTTCGGGTGACGCAAAAAAACAAATTCGACGGCATGCGTACCACAACGCAAGCCGCGAATATTAGGTTAGCCTGTAAGTAGGTTTATTTTATCCAAATATATGGGTATAAATGATTTTCCATACAAAATCACTTCGTCATCATTTTGCAAATTTGCAAACACGTGCATGCATTGCAGTGATGGGCAAAATGGTATTTACTAAGTATTAAATACTAAATACAACAGTATTTAGGTATTTTGTGTTGTTGTAAATACCAAAGTACTATTTACTTAGGTATTTAGGAGCTGCTAAATACCCAAGCACTATTTACTTAGGTTTTAGGAGCTGCTAAATACCCAAGTAAACAATACTTAGGTATTTAGGTGGTGCTAAATACTCAAGTAAAAAGTATGTAGGTATTTAGGAGCTATTAGATATTCAAGTAAGAAAATCTTGAATATTTAGGAGCTGCTAGATACCAAAGTACAAGTAGGCGCTAAAAACTTTGGTCCAAAGTACTCATGTATCTTGGGGATGCAAAATACTTTCACTAAAGTACCAAGGTATTTAGTCGATGGGTAAAAACGTCAAACGAAATACTGTATAAGTTAGGAGAAATTTAGAGAATTAACATCCCGCCTTACACTCACCTCAACTTACTTTACCACAACTCACTTCACCTCTCCTCAAGTCAACTCACCACATACAAACTCACCACACCTACTGCTACACCAAATCCTAACTCACCATAGTTGAACTCATCACACCCGTTCCCACGACACCGCACCTAAACTCACCACACCTCAATTTGAGAACTGTTGCGGGATTTGAGAGATTCTTCAGACTAAATCAGGATTTTCAAGACTATTTCGGGGTTTTCGGGACTATTTGGAGATTTTCGAAGCTATTTCGTAATTCTTTAGGAATTTAGGGTTTGAGATTTGCGGGATTTTCGGAACTAATATCGGGATTTTCGAGACGACTTTCACAATATTTAGGGATTTTTGGAACTAGTTTCGGGATTTTCTGGATTTTTGGAATTAATAGCGGGATTTTCGGGAGAATTTCGAGATTCTCGAGATTTTTGGGACTCCTGGACTATTTTTGGATTTTTAGGACTAATTTCAAGTTTTTGGGACTTTCGGGACTGTTTCGGGACTTTCGGGATTCTCGGAACTAATATCGGGATTTTAGGGACTTTTGGGACTTTCGGCAGCATTTTGCAATTCTCGGGAGTAATTTCGAAATTTTTGGGACTCCGGGACTATTTTTCGATTTTTGGGACTTATGTCGCCCTTGGGGGGACTATTTCCAGATTTGTGGGGATTATTTCGGATTTATGGAGTTTTCGAGCTTCTCGGGAATATTTTCTGGACTGTTGGGGCTATTTAGGGATCTTTGGGACTAATTTCGGATTTTTGGGACTCCCGGGACTATTTCGGGATTATCGGGAGTAATTAAGGTATTTTTGGGATTTTCGGGACTTTTTCCAGATTTTTGGGACTAATTTAGGATGTTTGGGACTTTCGGGTCTATTTCGAGGTTGTCGGGAGTAATTTCGGGATTTTTAGGACTTTCGGGACTGTATCCAGACTTTTGGGGCTATGTCGGGATTTTCAGGAATAATTTCGGATTCTCGGGAGTATTTCGGGATTTTTGGGACCTTCAGAACAATTTTTGGCTTTTTGGAACTTGCGGGACTATTGGGACTTTCGGAACTATTTGATTTTTGGAACTATTTCGTAATTATCGGAACCGATTTCGCGATTTTTAGGACTTTTGGGGCTTTCGGGAGTATATCGATTTATTTGGGACTTCTTTTGGATT